ATACATACATACGTACGTACATACGCTTGCATACATATGATTGCACACATATGCTTGCATGACATACATAGGTGAAAACATATTGTCACATACTGCTGTCATACCGACATACCTAAATATGATGCACACATCCTCTTCTTTCGGCCCCCAAGTCTTCACCGCGACATCCGCGAGCCCACCACACGTAGCCCGTTCGAACGACGCCTACCACCGCAGGTCACGACAATTTCGGAAAACCGTAAACCTGTCAACACCCTAGTCCGTAAACCCTAAGACCGTCAACAGTTCAGAGAAGCCTCTGGCCTTAAGCCAAGCCATGGTGCTGCACTTGCGCTTCTGTTCTTGTGGTGGACGCAGCACAGAAAGGTGCCTCTCTGGGGCTTGATTCACAGATGAAGCAGGGACTATGACAGCAAAAGTGTTTGTCGGCATTTGTAGTCTGCCTCCACCCTTCACACTGCCGTAGGCACCGTAGCCTTTCGACTTGCCTCAGATTGAAGTCGCTGCGGGATGTCAGACAGAAACGCTCCTTCCTGCTGCCTTCTGATTCTGAGATCCGGACCTTTGCCCATCATGCCTTTGGCTTGCATCATCTGCATCCCTTTCGACATCCACCCCTGAGAATTCACGGCAGCAGGCCAAGTCTTGAAGGCTGGCGTTCAGGCAGGGCTCCGTCTTAAAAATGTAGGGCCGAAGGGCAGGTTTATCTGTCTTGCCAAGTAGCGTTTTTGCCGTAGGCACCGTAGCCACCCCAGCTGTCCCATCCTTGGGCAGCGTCCCAGCCTTGCCCTTCATCCCAGCCTTGACTGGCGTCCCAGCCCTGGCTAGGGTCCTGAAAGATGCATGCGATTCCGCAAAGCCGCCGCATGGAAAGGTCCCATCTCACATGCAATGCGATTATCACTGAACTGCTGGCAAGCACAAGTCCTGAGCCCATCCTTTGCTGCCTTTGCCTTTGCCTTTGCCCCAGCCATTGTCTCCAGTAGCTGCGGCTGCTGCTATTGCATTGGGATCATGAGAGAAGTTGCCTCAGCAGTGAGAGTAAAGCCACCGGGACGTGGCTTTAGAGGGTTTTACGGCATTGCTGCTGGTCGAAACAATCGGGATGGCTGCCACATAGTGGCAATTTTCTCCTTTGGTACACTTCCCGGCCTCCCAATGACAGCTGGTCTCGATGCTTCTTGATCTATTGATTGACTAATCTAGCGACTAATCTCAAGCGATCTCGGAGGTGTGCAAGGCAGTGCAAAGCCTGCCAGAAGGTGCAGGGCACGTGCTTCGTGTTGCCAGTGACCTCGTTCCACGAACATCGTAGCAATGAAGTCGAGGTGGCAATCAACAATCAATCAACTGTGCAATCAGCGGCATAACACTACTGAGTATGATGATGCCGAGGGTAAAGAATATGATGAGTCTAGTGGGAAGGAGCGAAGTAATGTCCATTTGCCGCAATTCCGCTCCCACTCTCGAATCACACACCCTCCATGGCCAAATACACCGGAGCCGCCTCATGCCTTAACGCATCCTGGTTCGACTATGAAGCAGGAGAACCAGTGCACGACGGCATCAACAACAGTGCGATGTTAACAATGTCTTATGCTGATGCTGCTGGTGGCGGCCCTCAGTCTTCGGTGCTGGGATCCGTGGAGGGGACGATGTTGATGATACTCTCGATGACTCTGCTGATGAGACGAGTTGATTGGGATAATGCTGGTGGTGACGCTGACGGCATTGGTGATGATGATGATGATGATGGTGATGGCGACGATGATCATTATGATCAAGGCGAGAAATATTGACGGCTTGGATGAGACTGAGGATGAAAATGAGGATGGCAAGACGGATTTTTGTGGGACTGATGGTTACTGCTATATTGACTACCAACATGGCAAGAAAGCATGCACCAGTCCCGGTGCTCAGGGTAATAGTGAGGCTCATGTGACGAATACTTCACTACAATCAACCATTCGTTCCCGTCTTCTTGCATTTATTATTATTATTATTACTATCATTATTATTATTGTTACTATTATTATTGTTATTGTTATTAATATAATATTGTTATGATTAATATTATATGCTCTGTCAATGACCTGGCCTTGCACTCCTTGCCAGGCTGGCAGACGAAACCGCCGGCTCCGTCGTCCATCATCGCGTCCTCGGGAAGCTGAGGCTTACCGTTTTAGGGTTTAGGGTTTATGGCCGTTAAGCAGCTGCTCTTCTGCTTTTGCAGCTGCCGGATCTGCTGAGGTTATGACTCTGCTGCGCTTCTTGCCGTGGACGGAGCAAACAACTGGAAGCAGCGAGGCCGGGCACAGAATTCCAGGATTGCCAACGTGCCTGTCTCGTTGTTATAGCCCATCATGAAGGGCGGCATCATCATGGCGTACCTGTACTAAACGCACACAGCATCCACTTTGTCAGCTATGACTGCACCGTCTGTCTATTGATCTGCTCTGTGTGTGTGTGTGTGTCTCTCTCTCTCTCTCTCTCGCCTCTCTCTATCTCGCTGTATGTGTCCGCATGTCGTTTTGTCCCTTTATCTTAACGCGTTGCTTTGTTCCAATCTCTTTGGCCAAAAGGGCAGCACGTTACGCACCACAGGAACGATGACGATAACACTGATGATGACGATAAGGATGATGATGATGCTGGTTATGACTGTAGTGGCCCTCGCTGCGAGTCAGGATGTCCTTTTAGCGATGACCTAGGATAAGGGCAGAAGCAACATAGCAAGGCAGAATTAACAGTCTTCACAAGCAGCATCATTTCAATATGAAGAACGATGTAATGATGATAACAACGGTACTAAACCGCAAACCCCTCCAGCCCAAACCCAAAATACACACCGCGCCCAGCCTCTGAAGCACAGGCAAGGCCTCAGAATGAAGGCTCAAAAGGTGGCGCTCACATCCAATCTCCTGCCGGTCCTTTTTGAGCCTTCAGCTGCAGAAAACTCGAAGTCTGTCTGCGCTTGGAGGAGTATTCTCGTGTATGTCCCGCATCGAGGGTTTTGGACTCCATGCCACCATCTGTTCGGTACGTTGGCATGCAGCAATGCACATGCTGCCCCCGTCCCAAAGCCTGTAAGGCTGAGTTTTGGACGGACTGACGTCGCTGGTAAGTAGGGCCATCGGGCTGGAGCAACAGAATTTTCCGAGAAGGCTGCACTGCTCTCTCAGGGTGAAACGCTGGAGCTAGACAGATCTGATTGCCTTTTCGGTTCGAGCTGCTCCACGGATGCGCTGGAACTTCATTGATTCGAGCTCGGGGGGGGTTCACTGAACAAGTTGATGCGTTTTGTGTCGGGCTGATTCTTGATCTGCTTAGCCTCATCAGCCTCATCAGAGCAACCCTGGAAGGCCAATCCGCCAGCTTCATAAGAAGATTCATCTGGGAAACAAAGCGCCCTCGGCACTCAAAACAACGCTGGACTGAATGTACCAGCTGCCAGCGAAGTGCAACTGCAGCAAATTAACAACGAATTCAGCCACGCTGGCTGGTTTGCTCACCACAGCAGCAAGACATGTGAGGAACTTGCCCTGTCTTTGCCCACATGGCTGGTTGGAGTACATACATAGCAGCTACAAGCCAAAAAACTAAAGCAGCTCTGCTTAAACCTTCGGGACCCTGCTCAGCTACACTCCATCGCTCCGCTGAGCCCGAAGGTATCAAGTGAGGCCGAGAGATCTTCGGCCCCGCAATGCATCGTGGCCATGACCTTGGCTCACCATCCAACATTCAGCTGCCCATGTTTCTGAGTATTGTCGCTGTTTCCCTTCAGTTAGTTTAACATCCTAAACCGGCAAAGGGTAACCTACTTTACTGGTGCTGCACTACGTACTCGTCCTGCAGCCTATCTACCTAATTCTACAACACTGTTTTGCCTACCAGACTCTGCATCTTTTGGCCGGATCTTTCTGTGGCCCAGTATATAGTATCCACAACGGTAGTTCAACCACTAAAAATAACCGAGCAACCTGTTTATGTGTATGTACATATACAAACATACATACATACATACATACATACATACATACATACATACACACATACATACATACTTACATATACATGCACACATCTATATATATATATGTTTATTTATTTATTTATTTTATTATCTATTTATTTGCTTATAGAGAGAGAATATGAATATGTATGCATCATGCATGAGCACGTACATACATGCGCATTGCGCCACGGATTTCTCAGCCCAGTATCAGACATCTTAGCTTTCAGAATCCACGGACTCACGAAATCAAACAACTATACCTCTTTCCATGGAACTAAACCCTATAATGCTAGTGCCCGCAACTGCTGAAGCCCCCCTTAACACCAACCCCTGAACCCCGAGGCCCTAAACCCTACACACCCCTAAACCTATAGATCCCTTTAAAGGAACCCTTCATAGAACCCTTATGGATCCCTTTTAAAGGGCCCCGTAATTCAACCCCCCAAACCCCAAAGTCAAAGCCGGGTTGCCTTGGCACACTGCTCCCGGACCTCCATCTGCAACCTGTCATCCTGACGAAGATCCTCCAGGACCTGGCCCACCGGTTTAGGGTTTGGGGTTTGGGGTTTAGGGTGTTGGGCCTTTGGGGTTTTGGGGTTTGGGATTTTGGGCCGTTTGGGTTTAGGGTTTAGGGCTTCAGGATTAAAGCTTGTAGGGCTTAGGAGTTAACGGTTTTCGGCTCTAGGGGTTTAGGGTTTTGCTTGAGGTTTAGGGGTTCGCGTTTGGGCTCGTAGAGTTTAGGGTTGCAGAATGTTAGGCAGAATGCTAGGTTCTATGACTTCTCGTAGATAGTTCGACTCAGTCTGTCTCTTGGCAGTGCTCTTCGTTCTGAAAGTCTGTTTATGTTTCGCATGATGATGAGTTTGTCTGACTTGTCGAGATCTGGTTCTGCGATCATAGCAGCATGACTGATTTAATTCGGGTTCAAACCATTTTCTTGCTCATTAATTGCATGACTCCTGTACCAGTGCACACATCCCAGACCACCAGTACATGCTGTGATCGCAACAAGAAGCATTACACATTACCTCTTCCGGAACCGAAATCCCAAGGAAACTCAGCATTGAAACTAGCAGCAGCGATCACAAGCTGCTTTGGATGACGTTCACGCTCCGTGCTCTCTGTGTTGTTCATCCCAGGCAAAGCTAGCATGGCATGAACTCAGTCCTAAAGCTTGGCACCTTACTGCTGACCATATGCACAACCTAAACTATGCTTCCCGTCTCTCTCTGTTACATTTATAAACAAACGGGCACGGGCACGGAAGCGCAAGTCTTGCTATGCCGTCTGTGAAAACCAATCTGCCAAGTATGACGATTGGGAGGCGACGGTGTAGCACGAGGAGGTGCTCTAAGCGATATATTCTGCAAGGTTAGTGAGGAGTGCTTGAAATCGATCCTTCAACCTGTACCTGCAGCACTTCGTCTCGGCGATGCTGTCGTGCGGCTGGGTTTGCCGCCGCCAGGGCCTCTCGAGAACAGGGCCCGGAGCACTTATGCGGGCTCTTGGGGTTCGGGGCATAAGGCCGGGCTTATATATATATATATATTTATTTATTTATGTATGTAATTAGTTATATGTATATTTATGTTTATATTTATATTACACACACACACATATATATATATATTAAGATATGAATATGTTAATGTAAGCATGTTCCATTGCCTTTCATGTAGAAGCCTGTCTCAATGCTTGCAGCGCTCGCTATGTACTTCAGTCTTCTGGGAGGAGGGCAATCGGCTATCGACCTCAAGCAGGGATACTGTGAGGGTTACTATGAGGGTGACTATGCGGGTTACCATGAGGGTTACTATGAGGTTGACAGGAGGGTCTAAGCCTCTTGGTCAAAGCTCAAGAATTCTCAGCATGTGCTATTCAGTGGACTTTGCACACGCCCAAAAGTGGAGCGGGGACTTCTGCTGAATGGCTGCCACGAGCTCAGAAGAATCGAACGATGCACACAACAGAAGATAAGGCCGGAACCTTCAGGCAACCTGTGTAGCACATGAAAGCTCTGACATCTTCGGCATGCGCCGGCAGCTCACGCAGCAGAATCTCAACCTCACAGGGTGGCGAATCATGATCTGAGAACCTAGATCGAACACCCAAGCTCAACATGTTGGGGTTCACACCAACACGCGGGCGTCGTTGGTGTACAGCAGCTCAGCTGCTTCCGGCAGCTGAAAACACTCTGTGAGGACCTGTGTCAACGGCCATAAACTGTTGCAAGTTCGGATCGTAGTGTTGCGGCTTCAGTCGCTACTATGATTGAGGTTGCTGTGCCGCAATTCCAACCAGCAGCAGCAGCAGCAGTAGTAGTGATAGTAGTAGCAGTAGTACAGTAGTACAGAAGTACAGAAGTACAGTAGTACAGTAGTAGTAGTAGT